CAGGTTGACTTAAAACACTCACCTTCACAATGTCTATGAAAAGGATACAGTGGTTCAGATAGTGGAGATAAACGAAAAACAGAAGAAAGACACAGGAGTCTTCTAATTGGCTGGCCTTTTGTGTTCAGAATTATATCAGAAGTGAAAAACAGTAAATAAAATGGAGAGCATACAGGCCTTTTCTGATTAAAAGCACCTCGGACAAAACCTTATGAAATCTAAAAATAGGACTGCTGTTTAAAAGAACCAAAATTCTTGGGTTTTTTTTTATTATGTTTTGAATTTCCGAAACTTCAGAAGCATGACTGCTTTTTCTCTTGATCATGGTGAAGATTATTTTCTTTCTTTTTATATTCCTTACCTCAGATACAATGACCTTCTTCAACTCCAAAGATGAAAAAAACTACTCAGTGTTTCATGTACCCTCTTCAATTAAAATTAAAAAAAAAAAATTTGTGTGTGTGAAAAGTGAAGAGTGGATAAAAAGTGAAACTTACCAAGATTGGGTGATTTTATTTTAATAAGGATGAGATGATTACCAGATTCTCTTGCCTTGGAGGACGAATTAGAACATGGAAGTCTTTTTCAACTTCTTTAAGATTTTTCTGTGTGTCCTTGAATAATTCACCTGCTCAGTCAGTGTGTGAGCAGACGCTTCTTGTACAGTGCTGACAAGTTAATGTTTTAAAGGGCTTTGGGTGACCAGATGGAAGCCACTGTGTTTCCAGGGAGAGAAAGTTAAGGAGAGCAGGGTCTGAGCCAACCCTCCAAATGCTTTCGGCTTTCCCCGCCCTGCAGACCCTCTGGAGCGTGTGTGTCTGTTGTCTGCCGCGCCTGTGGGCCTGGTTACACGCAGCATATGCCAGGATCCCTGATGGGAAGGGCTTTGCGCTGCTCTGATGTCTGGGGCTTATTATAGGAAATCCATTAAGCCTGAGGTTCCAGGCTGGCTTCCTGCCATCATGGTGCCCGTGGACGCGGTGCTGAAAGGATCTGACTTTCAGTAAAATCTAAGCGTGATTGAGACACCAGATCGGTTGAAGAGCATTATTCCCCCAGGAATATAACGATTGAAAATGCTACCCAGCTCTGTTCCTTGATGGAGGACGGTCTGGCAGGGTAACAAGAGAATGACGATGATAAGATGCATGAGAAGAGTGATTTAGGACAGGGACTCCTCGACAACTTTTCTTGCAAACATGTGTGCAGATTACAGAGGTACCTGTAAGGAACCAGCGTACAGTAGCCGTCCCTTCACCCCACAGTTTTATTGAGCACTAAGAAGGCACAATGTGCTCCAGACGGCCTGTCAGCCATCAGGCTGCTGCTCGGGTGGCTGATGACCTCCTGGAGCGTCCTGTCCGCTGAAAAAACATGCACAACCTAAAAAGTGAGAGCTCTGTTTCCTTCGGCAAACTTCCTGAGGGCTCAGCCCGGGAGGCGGCCTCTCAGATGGCTCTAAGGGACTTCTCCGAAGAGGCAGTGGAGGAGCCAGAATACACAGGGGTTTTTGTAACAAAGACCAAGTAGTCAGAACATTGGAAGATTACTCTTAATTAAAGAAAGCCAGACATCTCAAGTTAAGGATGCTTTTCTGTGTATGGGAAGATGCAAGAGTCTGGACTCACTGAAATCATTCCTTTGATGTGCACATTAGCTACTCATCCTGAGTTCCCCTAGAGGGGCACTGTTGGGGGGTGGCAGTAGTGGCTGCTGACTTGATGGCCTCAGCATCCTTTGTTTACTGATGTGACTGGCAGTATTTTTCATTCACAGCCTCTCCTCCACCTGCCACCTGTCACACATGTTTCTCTGCGCCTCCTGCAGGGCTGATGGCTATTCCTTTACTTAGGCGCCTGAATCAAAGTTAAAAGAGGTAATTATTATAGACTCTCTGCCATTCTTTCCTCCAAATTCTAGACCAGAACTCACTGAGACCCAATACAGGAAACCTACCCTGTCTTTTGGTGACATTATCAGGAGGAAAGGAGTTGGCAGACGCCTTTGTCATATGACCAAAGCCGATGAGTTTCCTGTGTCCTTTCTCTGGTGGCATCAAAAACAGCCCTTACACCAGGGGTTCTCAACAGGGGGCGATTTTGCGCCCCCATCCGCAGGATATTTGGCGATCTCTGGAGACACTTGGGGTTGTCACAACTGGAGGGAGATACTACATGTTTCTCCCAATATCATAATATAAAGTATTCCTATGAAACCTTTCATAAACCAAAATGGCGTAAATTAGGAAAGAAGCAATTTTCACTTTTTGCCTTTTTTTGTAAAAGGGGAAATCCGCTTCGAATTTCTTTCAGTTAGTGAAGACAGATACTAACAGAGGTCTCTCCTAAAAGCAAAGTGGTGTAAAGCAAACTTTGGAAAAGTGGGAGATACTGTTCCTGAACTCGGGTTCAACTGCTCACGCTCAAAAAGCAGTACTCGAGAGACAATGTTGATAGCGTGGAAAGTTGCTTTTCATCAGAATGCCGGCAATCCGGGGAGGCGGTGGACTCAGTGTCCCCCAAAGACCATCTCTGCAGATTCTGCTCAGCCATGAAGGCTTTAAAGGGGAAATGGGGATGTGATCTCAGTTAATCACGGGGCTAGGAAGTCAGAGTCCGTGTCATCCCCCACTACTGGGCAGGCTTGTCAGTTCCTGGTGAATTTTCCGTAGATGCTGTCTGTTCACACGGTTTGTTTGCAGGATTACTGAGGGGGAGGCCAGGGGAAGAGACCCGGTCATCTGTTACTTATTCTCCATTTCTGCTTCTTTGATCTACAGAAAACACCAACAGGTTAGGCAAGGTAGTGTGTGATCAAAAGATCTACAAGGTGCGCTTGGGCCAGAGCTGAGTAGGGCCTGGGGGCACCTGGTTTAAGGTTAGTGACAAGACCCAAGGGGCCTCCTGCGGAGACCTCCTTCCAGCCAGCAGCTGCTTGCTGAAGTACCTGTAGCAGCGGCATCTAGTCGGTAGAGGCCAAGGATGTTGCAGAACACCTTACAATACGAGGAAGCCCCTCCCGTCTCCAACCCAGAATTACCCAACCCCCGAAAGTCCATGGGGCCAAGGTGGAGCGATCTGGCCTTACCCCGGTGCCTTCTCCCTCCTACCTCCACCCTCAGCCCCGCAGACAGAAGCTTGGGGCCAGTGATCTTACAGGGTTCACTTTGCCTCGCCGACACTCGGTAAATATTCAGTGAGGAAGGAAGGAACGGGGTCAGGGAGGTCTGGTGATAAGCCAGGAGCAACTTAAGCCAGCACTTCGGTGCTGTTTGCATCCATGCTTTCCGTCATTGTCCCTGCTTCTCTTTGAGTTGCATCTACCTTGAAATAGTTTCATTTGTTCTCTGAGTGCCTACTACTGGTCAGCCAGAGTGCCAGGCCCCGGAGGAGCGTACTGAGTCAGAAATACCACGACCCCTGCTCACTGGAGTTTACGTCTCTGGGGAAGAAAACCGTCATTAACCCGTTGCACAGAGGAGCGTAAAATTTCAGTGCGACACGTGCTGCACATTCTGCTCGTTTGCCACAAGAGAAGCCAGGGGAATGTCCGTGGTGGCAAGAACTGGAGACTGTCCTCCCCATAGAGATGTGACCCACAGGTGACGTTTCCAGTACCTGTACTAACACTCCGATGTCACTTGGAGACGCTGTCAACTTGTGTGTCCTCAGACGAGGGCTTTACAGGCGCTATTGCTTATGCAGAGTAGTGTTTGCCAGGCAGGTGGGAAATGGGCCAGGTTAGCGATGGAAAAAGTGACACTGCCAGGCCTGAGCAGGGAACTACAAAGTGTAGGAGGGGGAGGCGGCAGGGGCCGGGGTACGGGGGCCTTTCTGGAGCAAAGTCCTGTGAGTTGTGGAATGCAATGGGAGAGTTTCTAGACATTCAGTGAGATGTCCAGGTTTGCCTTTAGAAACACTGGACTTCTACCATTTCTACAGCACACAGTGGTGGTGTGCTGGGTAGACTGGGGCTCCAGGTAATGAGGCTGTGGACCACGGCTCCAGCAATGGGGCTGTTATGGAAGTCGGATTTACAGTTCCCATGTCTGATTGGGTACTGCGTGTTGGGAGAGAGGGAAGAACTTAATAACTTCTCTCTTATTTGAGGTAATACTCTCCTCAACAGTTAATCAGGAAACAGCCCCTTATAAATATTTGTGTTCTTCTGGGATCGCGGTGCCTACCTGTCCTTTCATCCGCATCCTACTTACTAGACTGGGGAACCGTCGTGTTCATGGTAATTTTATGGATTTTACATTTCAGACAAGTTGAGACAAGACTGAATTTTTCTTTATAAAATTGCAGTGATCTTAGTTCTAAGAGTCTTTTTCCAAAAATACCTGATATCTCCCCAGCTGCTAAACAAACAGAAAAACAGCTAGAATCCAAAGATGCTTTTGTCACCACATACTTGCCCCACTGAAGTTCTGGCTGGGTGTGCAAAACCTGCAAATGCAGAGTCTGCTCTCTGGGGATGATGTTCTGATAGAGCTGGAGGCTGGACTGTAGCAGGAAGAAGCTGGACCTGGGAGTCCTTCCTGCAGTTGGAAGGGCCCACATTTTAGTTTTGTTCCATCCTCAAAGCCACCCCACCCCAACCGTTGCTAATTCAAGCCTCTTTCTCTTCTTCTATTTAAGCACAAAGGAAGTATTAAATCACACAATAGGCAGTCAACTTAAAGTCGTCAATATTGCAAAGACTCAGAACATAAATAGGCCAAGGCATATTTAGAAAAACTCGTAGCTGACACACAATAGGGGATGAAGGGAGGGTGTTCAAAACTTATACCTAAACCTTGGCATCACTCAGAAGACAAATTTCAAATTGTAACAACAGCCCCAGCCACTTGGCACTACTCTGAGAAATGGAAATACTCAGCTGAACTGTCAGTGTTTTCCACCTGAAGTAGTGCCTTCTGCAGGTTGTGTCTGGGCTGTCAAAATCAGCGTAGTATTGTAATCAATCGTAAGTATTTTCAGATCTGCAAAGGAGGATGACACCTGCTTCTGCTAACTCAGAGGAAGTGTGAGGTTGACAAACAGAAAACTCCAGACCAAGTCTTCTGCTTTTTCATCGTCACACCCACTGTAGTGTGAGTCTGTGCTCCCACAACTGGAGGACGTGTGTGTCTCCTGTGACCTAGTGGAAGAAGGCCTTCTTTGAGATTTCGCCTCTGAGCACAGCCAGCACCTCTAATACTTGTTCAGGCAGAAGTCGAGCACTCCCTGAAGAGCACCAGAAAATGAGTGTGCTCCGTTCTATTTTGCAAAATGAGAACAGCATTCTTTGCACCATCTATGAATAAATTACTCCTTTGTGGCCAGACAGATTCCGGTTTTCTTAATCATCCCTGACAGCCACAGCCAGGGGTGGGTTAGGCTCTGCTTCATGCGGTGAGCACAGGGTATGGACTCTTTAAAACCCAGGGAGACTCTTGGGGCTTCCTTCTATCAACTTTGGGCATCCTGGTTAAGAGTGTAGGCTCTGAACGGACTCTACCTGAATTTTATTCCAGCCCCATCACTTGACTGTCTCTGGGGCTTCAGGCAAATTGCTCAAATCCTCTGTAAAATGAGGCTATTAATGGCACCACCCTGGTACGAATGCAGTGAGCATAGAGAGGGTGAGGTGTCCAGAGCAGATCCGAGCATGCGAGAGGTGCTCAGTAAACGTCAGCTCTTACTCCCTTGACTTCTATTTGTGCGAAGGGAAGTCATGCCAGTGCTTATTATAAAGTCATGTTGTGTAAGGAGATAGTCTCTGTGGTTATTAAATCTATCATTGTCTCTGGAGGTGGTGGTTAAAGCATTATCTTCATGCAATTTCTGATCAGTGCAGCGCTGTCAGATTGGGAAAGAGTGCCTGTTCCATTCACCCGAGAGCAGTTTTCACATCACTGACCCCATTTGCTTCCCGTGGCTCTCATGTCCCTCACGTGATTCCTTATTGTGCACAGCGTCCAACAAAGACCCTGGAGAAAAGGCAGGAAGTGGGTATGAAGGAGGTCCCTGAAAATCAAGTGCAGGGATGAAAACAGTGAAGAGCAAGCCAGATATAATGAATGTTTTCAGTAAAGCCACTGCCACTAAAGTGGAATGTTTTCGTGAGCATTGGGAGTCCATTTACTGCATATAGTCTTTCTAGGTTTAAAAAAAACAAGAGAGAAAAAGAGGAGAAAAAGAGAAAAGGCAATTCTGAATGTTGGTATCTCCCACAAATTCTGTTGCAAGCACCTTTTAAATACATGAAGAATCAGTAAGGAATGCTATGATTCAGGTCTTTAAAGGCTATAAAATAATACATTTGTAAATACTCACAAAAGGAAAAATTGTTACAAATGAGTACCAGTATTTTCCCAAATGATAAGTGTTTATGTTCATTGAACTTACCTACCGTGTCACTTAATTGAAATTCTAAATTTAAACTTACAATATAAACTTCCTATTCTTATGTTCATGATCACCCCTTCCCCTAAGTATTTGTTCATTATGCTAAAATTCTTTAATTAGGTTTAGGTTACAGCTCACGGAAGGGCCATGCATTTACTGCTGTTCCCAAACTGTTCCAAGGAGCCCCAGGGCCACAGAGGAAACTCAGAGGGACTCCTCAGAATCAAAGGGTTTTATACTGTTGTTAGTTTTTTGTTACTGGCTTTTATTGAGGTATAGTTGACTTACAGTGTTGTATTAGTTTCTGGTGTACAGCAGAGTGATTTAGTTATACATATATATTCTTTTGCATATTCTTTCTCATTATGGATTATTACAAGATATTGGACATAGTTCCCTGTGCTGTACAGTAGGTCCTTGTTGTTTATCTGTTTTATATACAATAGTGTGTATCTGCTAATCTCAAACTCCTAATTTATCCCTCTTTCACCTTCCCCTTTGGTAACCATAAGTTTGTTTTCTAGGTGAGTCTCTTTCTGTTTTGTAAATAAGTTGATTTGTATTACTTTTTTTAGATTCCACATGTAAGTGATCTCATATGATAGTTGTCTTTGTCTGACTTACTTCACTTAGTATGATCATCTCCAAGTCCATCCAAGTTGCTACAAATGGCATTATTTCATTCTTTTTTATGACTGAGTAAAATTCTATTGTGTGTGTGTGTGTGTGTGTGTGTGTGTATACATATATATACATGTATATATACACAATGGAAATAATGCTGTTATGAACATTGAGGTGCATGTATCTTTTCAAATTAGAGTTTTCATCTTTTCTGGATGAAACTATGAAAATCCCAGGAGTGGGATTGCTGGATCATACGGTAACTCTATTTTTAGTTTTTTAAAGAACCTCCATACTGTCCTCCATAGTGGCTGTACCAGTTTACATTCCCACCAACAGTGTAGGAGGGTTCCCTTTTCTCCACAGCCTCTCCAGCATGTATTATTTGTAGACTTTTGATGATGGTCATTCTGACTGTTGTGAGACGATGATACCTCATTGTAGCTTTGATTTGCATTTCTCTAATAATTAGCAATGTTGAGCATCTTTTCATATGCCTGTTGACCATCTGTATGTCTTCTTTGCAGAAATGACTGTTTAGGTCTTCTGCCCATTTTTTGATTGGACTGTTTTTTTTGTTTTGGTTTTTTTACTTTTTGCTATTGAGTTGTATGCGCTGTTGGTGTATTTTGGAAATTAAGTCCTTGTCGATCACATCGTGTGCAAATATTTTCTCCTGGTCTGTAGGTTGTCTTTTCTTTTTGTTTGTGGTTTCCTTTGCTGTGCAAAAGCTTTTAGGTTTGATTAGGTCCCATTTGTTTATTTTTGCTTTTATTTCTTTTGCCTTGGGAGACCCACCTAAGAAAACATTATTACAGTTTATGTCAGAGACTGGTTTGCCTATGTTCTCTTCAAAGAGTTTTATGGTGTCATGTCTTATATTTTAGTCTTTAAGCCATTTGGAGTTTATTTTTGTGTATGGTGTGAGAGAGTGTTCTAACTTCATTGATATACATGTGGCTGTCTAGCTTTCCAGCATGACTTGGTGAAGAGACTGTCTTTTCTCCATTGTATATTTTTGCCTCCTTTGTCGAAGATTAATTGACTGTAGGTGAGTGGATTTATTTCTGGGCTCTCTGTTCTGTTCCATTGATTTATATGTCTGTTTCTGGGGCCAATACCACACTGTTTTGATTACTGTGACTTTGTGGTGGTGTCTGAAGTCTGGGAGGATTATGCCTCCAGCTTCCTTCTTTTTCCTCAAGATTGCTTTAGCAATTCTGGGGCTTTTATCATTCAATATAAATTTTATAATTATTTGTTCTAGTTTTGTGAAAAATGTCCTGGGTAATTTGAGGGAAATTTAAGTTTTTGAGGGAAACACAATGTCTGTTGGGCACCAAGTAAAGTGTGAGCTTGAGATAGTTCAATTTCAAAATTCAGTTGTGCCACACCAGATGATGTCATAACTTGGCAGACCTGGATTTTCAGAGGTTTCTCTCAAAAACAAGTTCCATGTGAACATTGGCATGAGAGGAACTGGAGAGGGCAACATCTGATGCCAAGGTTTGAGAAGTTGTATGTGGTGCAGAAGAAGCTAGCTTGTCAGGACAGAGACAACTCTTAAGTTGTTTGGACCTGACTCCTTAACAAATGGAACAGTTAGGCATCTTTTGGCCCAGGGGCACCATGTGAAAAGCTTACAGACACAAAGGGCCCTGTGACCCAGGAAGTCTGAACCTCTGAAATTACATAAAGTCAAGCTCTGCCCATTTATTGTGTTCAGTCACTTCTCACAAAGAAAAAAATACTCGTTTTAAAAAAATAAGTTGATACAATTAAATATGAAATTATTTTTTTCAAGATCCAAATTATTTATTTCCTTGTGACTTTAGTTCACTGCTGAATTTAAAATAATGCTTTTCTAGTAAATAAAGAAATAGTTAATTAAGAAAACATAATAGTTAATGAATGAAAAACATAAAAGAAATATCATATGTCTTTATTAGTTGCATAAAGAAAACTCCATCTGCCACTTACTCATTTTTCCTGTATTCAAAACTAGTCCATCATTCCTATCCACATATCTACCTCGTTTTAAATTATAAAGTCTATAGCAGCGATGAGACGGTATCTTTAAACTCACTGCAAACTTTTCAATTAATTTTCAAATTAATCATAAATTCCACTGAGAGTTAGGTGGACGCAGAGGTAATAAAGCCTGGTCTAAGATCCATCAATGTGTAGAAGCTAAAGGAATTAAAGGTAATGGAACACTTGTATCTTGAAAGAGATACCTTCTTTTTTTTTTTCACTATGGCAGTTTAAAAAAGAAGGCTTAATGAATTTGGTTACACATATACAGAAGCTTCCAGGATAATGGTGTACAGCTGGCTAGTCCCTACCCCTTTCACCCATCATCCACAGGAACTACTAGTAAATAACCAGTGCTGGTTATTTTATTCAAAGTGAAAGGTGGGTATATCCTCTATATTTTATATTTAGGAACATCCAGAAATGGAGGTAAATTAACAGTTTTGTAGCAAAAATATTGGGAAATATGATCAAAGAAAATATCTCTGGATGGAATTCCTTTGTACCTCATGTCTAGTTATGAGAAATAATTGTGAACGGCCCCTTGGATACTATAGTCCTTTTTTTCCCTCATATTAGGATTTGCCCAGAATATCCACAGCCTCTTTAGAATTCCTTTAAGGGAAAAGTGAAACAATAGGCCCAGATAGGTGTGTTTTTGACATTGGCGCTGGTAACCACAGACCTAAATAAATGGTGGTTTGGAGGGCTTTTTTCCCATATCGTAGCAGATAAACGACAACACCCAAAAGCTTTCCTCCCGTTTCTAATGCATTTGAGGTAACAACACCAACTACTGCAAAATGCTAAGAGACATGTTACCTGAAGTCACTCATCAGCAATTACAGTCAGGTGTCAGACTTGCTGTCTGTAAGATTTCAAAATAACCAGTCAACGATACGAAAAAAGAGTTGGAGTGTAGCTTCATGGAGACGGAGCAACTGATTTTTCCTCTTTTCTTCCCTTGTCTTTTCACTTATAGTTTTGGTATCATGTTGACAGGGCTTAAGAACACCATTTTAACCCCCAGAATGACACCTCTGCAGAGCCAGCCAGTGTCAAAGGGAACGTTTGTCACTGACACCTTCCCTTCCCTTTCTGTGACCCCCTTGGATCTGGGGAGCCCATGCCTTGTGGCCAAGAAAAGGAAGAGCTGGCCAGGCATCCACAGAGAAGTCTTGGTGTTCTTCTGTGTATAAACAATTTCACAGAATATCAGCATCACACGAGGCCACTCTGACAGTGATGGTTCAAGACAAAATCAA